CACACACAATTCCAGGTTCACACAGCCCTTGAGGCCAACTTTCAAATTCAGACTCTATAATGATACCTATGTGCATGTGAATTTGTGTGGATGTGACCACAGGTAACCAACCACACACACAGAGCTCTGATCACAGAGAGAGAGGCAGTCACAGACAGACATAACTGTGCAGGCAGAAAAGCCAGTCACAAACACATGCACAACTGCATTCAAGCAGATAGTGACAAGCACTTATGTACACACACACAGCTATTCACAAATCAAGTCAGAGAAGAAACACAGAGACCGCGTATACAGTGCAAAAACAGAAACACAGGAATACAGAGAGTACACTTACTGTTGTTACAAAGAGGAAATACAGAAAATACACCTAAAGCTACATGAAGAGGAAATGGGAACCAGACAATACACACTCAGTAGCACCAAAAGAAACAACCATAGGACCCATACACCTACAGCCATTTACCAAGGACACACAAACATGGTGATGCACACACAGAAGAAAGACCACATTCATAGAAGACACACACATAGGAGAGACAAATACTCAAACACACTATCCAAAAGTGTTACAAAGGAGACATATACATACCCAAGGAATGCACACACACAACCCCATATACGTGAATTGCAGAAGCAGACAGTACTGACGCAGTCACCAGAAAGGAAACACACGTGTTAGACAGGCAGTCACAAATAGAAGACACAACCAGCCAAGTTACACAGGAGGACTCACATGCAGCTCACACATATGTGATTGTGACAGAGGACAGATGAGATACACTCGGGGTATTCACATGAACACACATCCCTGCCCAACCCCCTCTAGCTGCTCTCTCCTCCCCGGCCTATCCCGGCCTACTCTGATTTCTTTCTCCTCTGACATTCCCCTCCCCACTGCCCCCCCTCCGGGAGCCATTACACATCTGTGCTACAGACCGGCCAGGAAAAGAGACACCTGTCACCAGAGGCCTTGGCCCAGGTGGCAACAGTGGGGCAGGGGTGGGGGTAGGGAGGCTAGGCAGGTGTCTGGATTTCAAGAAGTCTAAAGTGTTCTGTCCAAAAAACGGTATACCTTGGACAAAAAATAGACACCCTGCACTTGCTACCTCTGGGCAGCAGTTTCCTGCTCTGACCATTCCTCTCCCCAGTCAGAGCCTTCCCCAGCCCACTAACATTGCCCAGCACAGGACCACCAGCACACCTCAGGTGCTCAATAAATGCCATTTATCAATTGTCATATCAGCATCAGTATTATTGTTATTTCTGCCAACTGAACTCTTCTAGGGGAGGGATGAGCCTGCATCCAGCTCTGCACCCCATAGCACAGCCACGCTTCAGAGCACCGCAAATAGCAGGTGCCCAACATACGCTGGCAGAAAGGAAAACAAAGGGAACATGTAATCTGGCTGCGGAGGGCAGCCTGCTTTAGAAGGAACAGCTGTCTTGAAGCATGACAGGGGCCTTGAGGCTCTGCCAAGGATAAAAGCACTTTGTTAGTTCATCAAAGTAGGGCCCCTTCTCAGGGTCATTTGGGATTCTTATTGGTTCATTAAAGTCGACGCTTATGTGACATTTTGGACTCTTTATCCCGTTTGGGATATCATTTTTGGTTCTTGTCAGTTCTTTTAAGCAGCACCTCTTCCCCATCGTGATTTGAGCTTAGTCTCATTAAAACAGGTCACTGCTTAGCAGTACTCAGGGGAGGAGGCAACGTAAAAAAGCAGTTAACAGCCCAAGCTTTCCTAGATCTGTGTCTCAGCTTCTTCAGGGCAGAATAATGCCTAACTGGTAGCTTTATTGGAAAGTCCAATGAATTGCTACAGGTAAAGCACTTAGAGCAATACTTGACACATAGTAATTTCTCAGTATATTTTTCTGTTAAAAGAATTAATGGATTATTCTCAGTTGGTTAAAGACAGCCTCCACTCAGGTGCATTTAGGATTGTCACCTAGCCTTTCATGCAGGCTCCCCACTGAGGAGCTCTGTGGAGCCTCTTCTGTCCCTCAAAGCAGCCCCTGGGCAGCAGGGCGTCTGGAATCAGGGTCTAATCCTGTGCCCATGGACCCCCTTCTTTCCTTCACACTGTTAGATGCCATTGGTGAAGAGCTGGCCTGGCAGCCCCGTCCTTGACCTCCTCAGGAGGCTGATGGGAGGAGACCTTTACACCTAGTGGGGTGCTGGGTGGGAGCTGCAGGCCGACACCCTACTTCGGGAAGAGCCTGGGGAGTTCAGAGCCTGGCTCCTGTCCCTCAAGCCCCTGGCCTTACTGGAGGAAGTAAGTTTCTTTGCTAAAAATTAAACATCCTCTTTGTGAGCAGCAAGAAAACAGGACATGGGAAGTGTCCCACAGGGTGAACATGCCCCCCCCCCAATGCCTGCGCTCTCTCCTCTCTGTAGAGCAGCAGCCTGGTGTCCTGAACCCTTCCTTTCTCACACTGGCTCACATCTACAGGGAACCATGTTCCCACCGCTCCCAGGACCTCAATCCCCACACCCCCACAAGCCCTTTGAGCTCTGCAGAGAAAGCTCTCCCTTCCTCCCAGGCTCTCAGTGACTCCTCCAGGAAGGTGCTCTCTCCGGTGTCTGTGTCAGTGTCGTGTCTCTATTCCTCTGTCTACACCTTTTTCCTAGAGTCTCACTGCCTCCTCCCAGGGCCCCGCACAACTGAGGAAAGAATGAAGGAATAATGAAACAAAAGGGTGAATTCAACAAGCATTTATTGAACACCAACTGTGTGTTGGGTCCTGGTTTCAGCGATTGGTGAATGTGACAGAACAGAAATCTCTGCCTTCCTGAAGCTCACATTCTAAGGAATGATGAAATCAATTGTTCTGTTCTTTGAATACTCACCAAGCTGGTTCTCACCTAAGGGTCAGTTGCACTTGGTGTTCCTTCTGCTTACAGTGCTCTTTCATAAAATATTCCAAGGGTGGGCCCCTCTTCAGTTAATCTAAGTCTCAGCTCAAATGTCACCTCCTCAAAGAAGCCTTCCTTGACCATGCTGTCTAAAATAACAACTCAACCCGTTACTCTTGATCCCCTTTCACCCTGCTTTATTATTCTTCATAGCTTTTTCACCACCTGACATAACATTATATATTTATATATTTAATTGTTGTTGTTGGGTGCTGTTGAGTCGGTTCCGACTCTTAGCGACCCTATGTACAACAGAATGAAACACTACCCAGTCCTTCACCATCCCCACAATCGTTATGCTTGAGCCCATTGTTGCAGCCACTGTGTCAATCCATCTCGTCAAGGGTCTTCCTCTTTTTTTGCCAACCCTCTACTCTGCCAAGCATAATGTCCGTCTCCAAGGACTGGTCCCTCCTGATAACATGTCCAAAGTACGTGAGACGAAGTCTTGCCATCCTCACTTCCAAAGAGCACTCTGGACAGACTTGTTTGTTCTTCTGACAGTCCATGGTATATTCAATATTCTATATATATTTAATAGTATATTTATATTTAGTATAGGCAGTTTCTTGTATAAATAAATGTATATAGATACTAAAAAAAAAAAAAAAAACCTGTTGTCACTGAGCGATTCTGACTCACAAGAGACCTTGTAAGACACAGCAGAACTGCCCCGTAGGTTTTCCAAGGAGCAGCTGGTGGATTCATACTGCTGACCCTTTGGTTAGCAGCCAAGCTCTTAACCACCAGGGCTCCACATAGATACTAGCATATTTATATATATTAGCATATACATTTATATGTATTATATCTATGATATTTATTTTATATATACACTATATAAAATGTATAAAAATATACCATTGTATATTTCTTTATATTTACATATAATGGCATATTTATATGTTTAATAATATGTATTTTATATATTAGTGAAATATTATACATCACTATATATTTCTAATCATACACATTAAATTAAATGGCATATGTTTATATATTTCGTATATATCCTCCCTTGTCTCAATTTCCTCATCTGTAAAATGGGTATAATTACAGTAACCACCTCATATGGTGATTGTAAAGATTAAATGACCTAACATAAGGAAAGCATTCAGTGGTGTGCTGGAGCCAACTTGTAAAGGTTCGAGAGAATTTTGCAAACTGGTTGTTCAACACAGCTATTATTAAAAATTAAATGATATAAACTTACAATTAACTAAATTATATTTTTAAAAATATTTTTTAAAGGTGATAAATGCTCAAAACTCATCACTTTCTAATTATTTTATTACATCTCACTGTTATCTACGCTCTTGCGGTTATTTACTTATATTCCGTCTGTATGGTAAGAATATGATATAATGGTGGGCTACTGCATTCTTTCTAACTCGGTGTTCAGTGACTACACGTTACTAACCTGAAGTCTGTCGAGATGAGAGTATGCAAACCATGGAAACTGACAAATGTTAGAAACCGGAGCTTTTTTTTTTCCCCCCTTCCCAGAATTCTAGTTGTTAGCCATTTACCAGGACACCACTGAAAGCACTTAGTGCCTAGTACATAGTCACCAGTATAATAAATGTTTCCATTATGTTTGTGCACTGGGTCGCGATGTGTGTATCTTTTTTTGTGGATAGGAGTTAAAAAATGTTTGAAGAGCAGAATTATGAAAGGCCAGACAGTGTGCTAAGTAAGCTACACCTATTCAATCCTTCCAATAAATCTGTTAAATCTGTACTATTTATTATCCTCATTTTACAGATGGGGAAAATGGAAGTTCTAGGACGGTAAAATTCAGGCAGCGCTAGCATTTGGCGGAGGTAGGATTCGAAATCGAAGCTTGAAGCTTCAGAGCGCTCGCGTACTTAACACACAAAAACACCTTTCTTATTCTCACTAGGAGCCCTGGGTTCCAACCCACCAGCTCAGCGGGAGAAAGATGTGGCAGTCGGCTTCCCTACAGATTTACAGCCTTAGAAACCCTGTGGGCCAGTTCTACCCTGTCCTACATGGTCGCTATGAGTCGGAAACGACTCCAAGGCAACGGGTTATTCTAGCAATAATTCCGCTTTGCAGCACATGTCAAATGAATGGATGCCATCATGCTCGTTCCATCTTGGGAAACGTAGTCCACAGGCTCAACTAACACCAAGGTCCAAACTGGGAAGGGTGAGGGAATAAATCGATCTTAGCGTTAGAACAAAAGAACAAAGAACCAGTTCCTGTGCCTCGCGATGTTTCAGCTACGCAGTGCGCGAATTCAGCAGCTTTGGTCGTGCCGTTGCATGCTGGGAACGGCGATTCGCATGACTAGCCACGTCAACACAAGATGACGGAACTCACGTTGTACGTTCAGGTCGGGTCCAGGCCGCGCCGGAGCCTTAGCGAACCACATTGCCAACCGTGCCGCGCTGCATTAGCCCTTAGGCTTGCGCAATGGGCATTCGGGTCAACTAAGGGCACAAACTGAAGTCCTACGATTTCTTTCCCTTTTCCGCTCTCGCCAAGGCTCGGGCTGTTAACAGACCAGCCTCCTTCCTCCCACTCTGAAAGCTAAGGTAGGCTGTCGGGCGCGGAGGACGTGGATCCAGGCCTAGGCTCTGTCGAGGCGCGCCTGCGCCGTCCTGCTGGCAGGGAAAGGAAAAGAGGTCTGTCCTGGGCGTTGGCGGCGGCATAGTTCCGGCAGCTGGCCCTGGGTGGGCGCCAGACCCGAGGTTTCTATGCAGAAGGGGACCACTATTCGGGGTAGGCTCGGGATCCAGATATCGGCGGAGCTGCATACAGGGGAGCCTGGAGGTCCCGATGAGGGCATGATTTTTGAGGCACTGATGAGGAGGGACTGGAGGTGTGGTCAGAGAGTTGTTAATGGACAGTTGGGTAATGGAGGTCCGATAGAGATGTTAATAGGAGTGTTTTTAATCAACAGGTTCGTTAGGGCCGGTGTGGGTGTGTTCAGCGATTGATAAACGAGGTGGTGGTAGAGTGGGCAACTAGAAGATAATGGAAGGTGGATGGGGGTGTGATCACCAAGGGATTGGTGGAGGTATGGTATTTAACAAGTTAATGGAGAGTGATGGGGCTATGGAAGGAATAATAGAGACCGATGGAGATGATCATTGAGGGGTTAATGGAGGGCTAGTGTGGGTGTGATGATCCAGGGACTGTGGGGGCAGTGATCAAAGAAGAGATCATGAGAGGCTGATGGATTTTTGTAGTCAAAGGGTTAATACTGCGTGATCATGACATGATCATCCAGGAATTACTGAGGAGAGAGTAATAAATAGTAAACTGTTCGGGCGTGGTCGTCCAGTGATTAGTGGAGGGCAGGGTGGGCAGTGAGGCGAGAATGGGGAACTGATGAGAGAGTTTGGTGTCAAGGGAGTAACAGAGAGGCTATAGGAGACTAATGGGGGTATAAACTATGAGAGATTGATTAGGGGGCTAATGAGTTAATGGGGGCTGATAAATCATAGTAATTGAGAGCTTAATGGGAGGCTAATATGGCATGATCCTCCAGGTATTAAGGGGGGGTGATAAATACCAACAGGATCACACAACATTTGGCAGTTCGATCCCACCCAGAGGTGCCTTGGAAGAAAGACCTGGTGGTCTACTTCTGAAGGTCAGCTATTGAAAACCCTACAAAGCTCAGTTCTACTCTGACATGCATGTGGTCATTATGAGTTGGAATCAACTCGATGACTGGTTTTGGTTTACTCATTTAAGGGATTAATGGAGAATGGGGTGGGCAGAGAGAGATGACGACTAAGGGGGTGGGGAGTGCAATGAGGTAGTTTTAGGATAATGGGGTGAAAAGCAGGGGATTAATGGTGGGCTAATGGGGGCATATGAATCTGGAGCAATGGGGACTGTTGGGAGTTTGGTCAGTGAGATGTTAGTGGGGATGAGGTGGTCAAAGAGGGGTTGATTGTGAGAGTCATGGGGTTTAATGACAGTGATGGGGGGTTGCCAGGGTCAGTAATGGGTCATTGCTGAGATAAGTACTGGGGGACTAGGGGTCTATGGGGTGAATAATAGGGTTCTGTAGATTCAGTGATGGGGTCTGTGGAGTAAATGATGAGGGGTCTGTGAGGTGAGTAATAAGGGATTTGTGGGGTGAGTGATGGGTTTGTGAGGTGAGTGATGAGGGCTCTGAGGTGAATGATTGGGGGGCTCTAAGGTGAATGATGGGGTCTGTGGAGTGAGTTATGGGAGATCTGTGGGGTGAGTGATGATAGGGGTCTCTGGGGTCACTGATGGGAGTTGTGTGAGATCAGTGATGGGGGATATGTAAGATGAGTAATAGAGCCTGAAGGCTCAGTGATGGTGTTGTTCAGGGTCACTGAGGTCAATGGGATCAGTGACTGGGCTTTAGTCTTCTCATCTGCTGAATGGGCTGTCATGGGGGTCAGATGAGCCTGGTTTGGTTTATGTGGTTCTTCCTGCCCTACAGAGGTAGGTAGTGGCCCCTCCACCCAGTTACTGATACAGGTTGGCATCAGCTTACTGTTGGCAGGTCCCTGGGCAAACAGAGTGCGTGAGATGGGACGGACATCAAAGGACAAGCGGGATGTCTACTACCGCCTGGCCAAGGAGAATGGCTGGCGTGCCCGCAGTGCTTTCAAGCTACTACAACTGGATGAGGAATTCCAACTCTTCCAAGGTCCCCACCTGGCGGGCGAGTTGCTGAGGGGGCCAGTTCAAGGGGGATAGACAAGTTAGCTAGGTCTGCAGGGCTCCCTGTGGTAGGTGGGCTCAATTGGAGGATCTCTGGGGCAGAGAGGCAGGCAGGAAGATGGGCAGAATCCCAAGGAAGAGTTGGGTGCATGGGCAATGGATAGACATGTGTGTTCCCCAAGGGAGAGGGGTGAACTTTGCAGGGTCCCTGGGTTGGAGAGGTGGGTGCAGCTGACTAATACACCTTCCTGTGTGTGCCCAGGCGTGACGCGGGCCGTTGACCTGTGTGCGGCCCCAGGCAGCTGGAGCCAGGTGCTGAGCCAGAAAATTGAGTGAGTGTGGGGTCCCTGGTGGGGGACAGGGAGGGTGGGCTATGTAGGGGGTTCTGGGAGTGAAGACTGGACTGACATGGGCTGTGTTGTCCACAGGGGTGGACACGTGGTGGCCGTGGACCTGCAGGCTATGGCTCCGTTGCCAGGTGTGTTACAGATCCAGGGGGACATCACCCAGGTGAGAGCATGGCCAGGGGTAGCTGAGGTGCATCCTAGGTGAAGACCCCCCATCTGGAGGCTATGGAAAATAGAGGATAGAGAGAAACAAAGAGAGAAAGACAGAGATAGAGACAGTAGCTGAGAGAGAGTAACAAAGGAGAAACAGGGCCAGCAGCTGTCATCGCAGAGAAATAGCAAAAAAAAAAAAAAAAAAAGATGAGACTGGGTCCCCAGAGATGGAGCCCCGTCTTAGACGGGCAAAGCCTGAGAATTTGGCTGGGGTGGGGTCCTGGGAAGGTGGGGTTCAAGGGCAGCAGCTGGGGGACCCTGAGGCCACTCATTCTCCCTCTCTCCATAGCTATCTACTGCCAAGGAGATCATTCAGCACTTTGACGGCTGCCCTGCAGACCTAGTGGTGTGTGATGGGGCTCCCGATGGTAAGCAGCAGGGTGGAGGGCCCCTGTGTATGTCTTTCTCAGGATCTTCCACCAGTGTTGATTTCTTTCATCTCTTCAACTACTCCTTGCCTCTTCCCTTTGCTGTCAGCTTTTCCCCATATCTGGCAACTTCCAACCTCTATTGCCTGTCCACTGCTTCAGTCCCCCCACACCTTTCCCCCACGTTTCTGTTTTGTGTTTGTTGTCCACCCATCCCTTTTATTCCTCTGCTACTGTCCAATTCCATTTTACTCATTCATTTTTCCATTTATTCAGTCAATCATCCATTCAAAACACATTTACTGAGCACCTACTGTGTGTCAAGCACTGTTCTAGGCATTGGGAAAACATTAGTGAATAAAATATCACTAATCTGTGACCTTGTGGAGCTGGTGTTCTAGTGGGCACAGATGGGAAAGAAGTAAAATAAATGATTGAACTATGTAATATGTTAAAAGGTGATAGGTACCCTGGGGAAATCAGTGAAGTAGGGAGGGAAGTGGGGAGTGCATGTTGGAATTTTAAATAAAGTAGATGGGGAAGGCCTCACTGACTTTAGAGCAAAGACCTAAAGATGAGAGAGTGAGCCCTGGGTGTGTCTGGAGGAAGAAGGATCCAGGCAAAGGGAACAGCCAGTGCAAAAGTTGGAGCTGGGAGCGTGCTTGGTGTGTATGTAGGATAATGAGAAGGAGGACTCTAGCTGAACCAAGGGTGAGCGAGGGGGAGAGTGGTCGGAGGTAAAGTCAGGTGATGGGGGCCAGATCCTGTAGGTGAGGGCCACAGTGAGGAGTTTGGCTTTTTCTCTGAGTGAGATAGGGGCTTGGAGAAAACCAGGAGAGGGTTCTGAGTAGAGGAGGGCCGTGCCTGACTTGGGCTATAACAGGATCCTTCTAGCTCCTGTGAGCAGTGTAAGGGGTGCGGGTGGAAGCAGGGGGACCAGCAAGGAGGAGGCTTCTGCATTAGTCCAGGTGAGTGGTGATGATGGTTGCAGTGGTGGAGATGAGAAGAGGGTGGATTCAATATATTTTTGAAAGTAGAGCTGACAGGATTTGCTCATGGCATGGCTTGGATATGGGTGGGGTCAAGGGTTAACTAAGGTTTTTGGCCTGAAAAACTGTAAGGATCAAATGAGATGGGGAAGATGGTAGGAGGAGAATGTTTAGGAAGGAAGGTCAGCAGTTTGGTTTTGGACATGTTGAATCTGAGATGTCAAGTTTGACCTGAGTCTGGAGTTCAGAGCTGCAGTTTGGGCTGGAGATGGAAATGGTAATAATTGTACTTGCTCATGAGGTTGCTTTGAAAATTAAATGAGTTCCTTGAAGGGCTAGGAGCTCAGTATGTGCATCCATTTGGTTAGATATTAATTTGCATCCAGAACCTTAGCAGTAAGAGAGCCTGGGAAATAGTTTTAGCTTCCTAACCTCTCTGGTACAAGAAGATACATAGAACTGAAAGGGCCCCCCTAACACTGTTCCTCTTGCCACAGTAACTGGCCTCCATGATGTGGATGAGTACATGCAGGCCCAGCTCCTTCTAGCTGTGAGTAACCCTGGCTGACCCTGCCCCAGTTTGGCCCCCTTCTGGCTGTGTCCAACTCTGCCTTAGCCATCTGTCCTGCCCACAGGCTCTGAACATTGCTACACACGTTTTGAAACCAGGGGGCTGCTTTGTTGCCAAGGTGAGTCTAGGGAATCTTGATAGGGGGTAGAGAGGGGTCTTTGAGGGCCACCCTCACCCGTCTTTGACTTCCCACCCCACAGATATTCCGAGGCCGTGATGTGACACTGATCTATAGCCAGCTGCGGGTCTTCTTCTCCAATGTGGTGTGTGCCAAGCCCAGGAGCAGCCGTAACTCCAGCATTGGTCAGTGGGGTGGATGGGCCAGGTAGGCGGGTGGAAGTCTTGGGGGTGCATCTTGCACAGGCATAGATGGCAGTCACCCCTCACTCCAGATTCCATCCACAGAGGCCTTCGCTGTCTGTCAAGGTTATGACCCTCCTGAGGGCTTCATACCAGACCTGACCAAACCCCTGCTAGACCACTCTTACGGTGAGAGCCAGAGCCTTGGGCCCCATCCCTGGGGAAACTCTACCCCCTTATGGAAATTGTTTCATGAGGACCCTCAGTCCCACCCCCAGTGGAGCCTCTGCCCCCTTATAGGAATTGTATCGCAAAAGGATCCTCAGCCCTACCTTTTGGTGGTAACTCTACCCCACTGTGGGAATTTTGCCTCATTAGGGTCCTTAGCCCCACCCCTAGTAGAAATGCTATTCTGGGAGGATCCTCAGCCCTACCTTCTGGTTGAAATTCCACCCCCTTATGAATATTTTGTCCCAGTCCCCTGGTGGTAACTCTCTGACCAGATGAAAGTTCTGTCCAGAGAGGATTCAGAGCCCTGCCCTGTGGAGACTGCCTGCTTAAGGGAATTCTATCCTAGGAAGCCTCAGTCTCACCCCCAGGAGGGAACTCCACCTCTGTGTGGAAATTTTGCCCCATGAGGGTTTTTAGCCTTCCCCCTGGGGGAAAAAGACAAAGAGCCTGTTCTTGTGGAGATTACTTTTGAGTGAGACAAGGTATAGACAGCATATAGAATATCAAGTATAGGTAAGTGCTGTGAAAAAAAAATAGGGAGGTACAATGTTTTAGAAGGGGTGAGTATGGAGGACCTCCCTGAGGCGGTGATCTGAACCAAGTGAAGGATTTCTGGTGGAGGAATGTAAGAGGAGATGGGGAATATTTGGGGAGAGCCGGGCAGGGATCCTTTTGGAGGAGTTGATACCCATGCTGTGGCCTGGGTCATGACTGGTCCCAGGCATCCCAGCCCTGTCCTCAGTCTTCTATCTCCCTGTTCCTCAGACCCAGATTTCAACCAGCTGGATGGCCCCACCCGCATCATTGTGCCATTTGTGACCTGTGGGGACCTGAGCGCCTATGATTCTGATCGCAGTTACCCACTAGATGTGAGTGCCTGGCCAGCAGTAGGCAGGGGGTTGGGAGAGCAGCTGTCCTAGGTTTTCAGGTCCTCACCATTCCCCCCATGTGTTCTTGCAGCTAGAGGACGGATCAGAGTACAAGTACACTCCGCCCACACAGCCCCCCATCTCTCCACCATACCAAGAGGCCTGCACGCTGAAGAAGAAGGGACGGCTGGCCAAGGAGATTCGTCCCCAGGAGACCCCTATCAGCATAGTGGACGTCTTGCCCCAACCCCTGGCCATCCCACCACGTCACACCCTGCTGGCCTCTGAGGTCTGGAAACATGGCCAGGGCCCTCAGTGCCCTTTCTGTGAACCCACAGTGACCCCCTCCCAATGTGCCTCTTTCTACCCCCAAATCCTATGGTTTTGGGGGCCAAAATTCTCTTCCTTACCTCCCAATAGCTATAGAACACAATGGGTAAAACCAACCATAATAAACAGAAAAGCTCAGCCAAGTATCTGAGTCCCTTTTATTTTTCTTGGGTAGGTGGAAGACAGTGATATGAATTGTTCACCTTAACACGTTAAGGTAAGTTTGCCTTTTATCTAAGAGCATGAGTAAAGGGCACCTTTAAGAAAAAGCTCAGATATGACAACTGATAACAAGATTTCAGTCAACAAACCTTTATTAAGCACCTGTTGTTGTATGCCAGGAACTGCTTTAAGCATTTTATATATTCAGGCATTCAGTAAACACTTATTTAGCACATATTATGTGCCAGGCATTCTAGGTTTGAAGATATGAACATACAGCAGGGAACAAAACAAATATCCTTGCCTTCATGGAACTTCTAGTTTGGGAAAGAGGTAAAAAAACAATAAGACATTCTCTGAATGCAAGAGTTTATACACTATTATAGCTATCTCTAGCTGCCTAGAGTTTGCATTTCACTATATCTATCTATTTCACTATATATAGCTTGCATGATGATAGATAATATGTAAAGGTAATAAAGAATATGAAAAGTAGAAGTAAAGCAGAGTAAAGAGGTGGTGGTTTGCAGTAAGGGTGGTCATGGAAGGCCTCATTGAGAAGGTAATGTTTGAGCAAAGACCTGAAGGAGATGAGGGAGAGAATCCATGTGTTTCGAGGAAGAACGTCCAGGTAGTGGAAATAGCAAATGCAAAGGCCCTGAGATGAAACTGTGCCTGGAGTGTTTAAGGAACAGCTAGGAGGCCAGCTGACCTGTAGCAAAGTGGGCTAATCTGTTAGTACTGGAGGAATTCTCAGCCTCAGGATGTAATGGATCCCTTTCTGACAACGGCTTACAGGTTATTCAGACTAAGTTTTTCATTAAAAAAAAAGACACCTTTAAAAGAGTGAAATGGCACATCACAGTGGGAAAAGGTATTTATAATCACTATGTATAGTATCCTTAATATTAAAAAGCTACAGATTAGTAAAAGAAGTAATAAGAATGGCAAATAAGTACATGAAAAGATGCTCAGCAGGGGAATGCGAGCTAAAACTAAAAAGATTGATGATAATAAGTGTTTGGAAGGATATGGAACAATTGGAACCCTCATGTATTGATGGTGGGAGTGTAAAATGGTGTGGCCGCTGTGGAAAACTGTTAGGCCTTATCTACTAATGTGGCATATATACAGTTCCACTCCTAAGAAATAAGTACTAGAATGTTTATAGCAGCACTATATGTAGTACCCCCAAACTTGAAACAACCCAGGCATCCATCACCTGTAGAATGGGTAATTAAATCATGCTATATTCACAATGGAGAACTACACAGCTATGACAATGAACATTGTACAGTTACACAAAATAACACAGATGCACTGTTCACCTTAAGAGTTACTCCTTAAACTTAACATATATGTTTTATGCATTAATGCATTATGTTTTTATGTAATAAAAGTGGGGGGGGACTTACAAAAATATTAGTAGCTTAGTGAACAATGATTATAGTAGAAGAAAGTGGGAAAAGATGTTTTTGTTTAAAACTTTCTTTTTCTTTGACCTTCAATTTGCTGGCAAGCTGATTCAACTCAGAAGCTGTTCGCTGTCAGGAGAGCCAGAACTTGCATTGATGAACTTGTTTTCAAATATCATCATCTCATCAACAGGGCCTGAACATTCAAGCCCCAGGTGGGAATCTGCAACAGCCACGTAAACAACAAAGAAACATTGCAAAATGTCTGCAATGCAGTGGAAATTCTAGAGTGAGGTCTTGCCTCTTCTCTAGGTGAACCTTTCCAGGGGTGTCCTAATTATGTCCAGAATTTATCCCTAAAGCAGGGGTTCTTAACCTGGATCGAAGTCAGGGGTATCCATGAACTTGATGGAGGAAAATATTACATCTTTATTTTCATTAATATAACTGAAATTTCATTCCACTCCCAATTATGAATGCTGGCAATAAATCGCAGTAGTAAAAGCAGTACCTGCAACTTTTTCACCAATACAAATGAGTTATTTTTTATGTTACATTACAGTTGTTGCAGGTATCTTGCAATGTTCTCCACATCCGTTACTACTATGAATATGGTAGCTCTTGTTATTTGATGTACTAATAAAGAAGTCCGTATATTACTATATCCCAATTTTGTTTCATTTTAATATATATAGTGATAACTATTCCAATTTAATTGGTTTCCACTGTAATCCTGAATGTGTGTGTATATGTACGTGCATGCCCTTTTAAAAATATTCTGTGAAGGAGTCCACAGATTTCACCAAACATCAAAGGGTTTCCAGAACAAATTTTTTAGGTTAAGAATCCCTCTCAAAGAAATGTCAGAATGTCTGCCTTGACTGCAGTCCTGAATTTCTACAATTCAGCGAACAAAAGCTGACAGAAACTCACCGGCTACAAGGACAAAACCATTTTCTGCAGCTTAATCCCATATCTTTAGAAATGTACATTCTGTTACCCAAACACTGTCCACACCCAAGTCTGTGTGACCCAAGGAACATCTACACCCCAGTCTATGTTACGTCAGGAGTATCCAAATCCCAAGCTATGACCACAGAGGTGTCCACAGCTTAGTCTGTGACATTCCAGGAATATCTGTGCCCCAGTCCAGTGACCTAAGGAGCATCCACACCCTAGTTTGTGTGATCCCTAGGAGGGTCCATAACCAAGTCAGTGTGACCCCCAGGAAGATGGATGTCTGGAGGAAGAGCGTCCCTGGCAAAGGGAACAAACAGCCAGTACAAAAGCGTTGAGGTAGAAGCATGCTTGGCATATGTAAATAACAGGTGTCCAGTGGGGCTGGAGTAGAGTACATGAGGGGGAGAGTGGTAGGATGTGAGGCCAGAAAAGTGATGAGAACCAGCTTCTGTAGGACCTCATGGGCCTCGGTGAGGACTCTGGCTTTTTCTCTGAGTGAGATGGGAACTCAGAAAAATCCATGAAGGTTCTCAGCAGAGCAGGAATGCGCCTGACTTGGGTTGCAACAGGATCCCTGTGGCTGCTGTAAGCAGGCTGACTGAAGCTCCTGAATGTCAGATCAGGTTGACCCATGGAGGGCAGGGGCCCAAGCCCAACAGGCAGGCCAAGCACTACAGCCACTCGGCAGACTTCCCTTGGGGGCTGTGCGTGCTCTCTGGCGCATATGGTAGGGTTCTGGCCCTCCTGTCCCCAGAAACATCACATGCGCAGGAGAGGGCATGGGGACTGAGTCAAGATGGCCTGACTCTGGGACTTCAGGCCAGAACTGCCTTTCTCTGGTCCCCACTTTACCCCATTTGTCAGATGAGTATAATTTCTGCCCTGGCAACTCTCCAGTCTTCTCACTCTGTTCTAACCACACCAGCCTCCTTGATGCTCCTCAAACACACCAAGCATTATTCCACCTCAGGGCCAGTGTACCTGCTGTTCCCCCTATGCTTGGACATTCTTCCCAAGATTATATAGTTCATATTTACATGGCTGTTATCGACATGGCTACCTCCTTCATTTTCTTCCTCTCTACTTAAAAGATCATCTCAGGAAACCTTCCCTGACTATCCAGAATAGCACCCCATCACTTTCTCTCCCTGAACCGTGCTTTGTTTTTCTTCATAACACCAATTCCTGATGGTATATATTTACTGTTGAATCACTCAGGGTCTGGGGGGAAACATGAGGCACACTCAACTTGAATTTTGAAGAGATTTCAATGAAGGGAACTAAAGATATGTGGGGAGGGTTCAGTAAAACAAGGTGATGTTATGGATTCAATCTACCACTTGTTTATCCATTTGTCATAGAGTGGTGGCTTGCATGTTGCTGTGATGCTGGAAGCTATGCCACCGGTACTTCAAATACCAGCAGGGTCACCCATGGTGGACAGGTTTCAGTGAAGTTTCCAGGCTAAGACAGACTAGGAAGAAAGACCTGGCAATCTACTTCTGAAAAATTGGCCAGTGAAAACCTTATGAATAGCAGCGGAACACTGATAAAGTGCTGGAAAATGAGCCCCTCAGGTTGGAAGGCACTCAAAATACGACTGGGGAAGAGCTGCCTCCTCAAAGTAGAGTTGACCTTAACGACAGAGATGGAGTAAAGCTTTCAGGACATTTATTTGCTGATGTGGCACAACTCAAAATGAGAAGAAACAGCTACAAATATCCATTTGTAATCGGAACATGGGATGCACAAAATAAGAATCATTTCTAACAAGTTCCCAGGAAGTTATACATAAAAATCACCTGAGGACCCTGTTAAAATGTAGATTCTGATTCAGTATATCTGGGATGGAAATGCAAATTCTCAGCAGGCAACTTGTTAGAAATGCAAATTCTCAACGGGTCCAAACTATGATGAACTGGTTGGAAGCCCTCGATGTAAATTCTAACCTCTATGCCTGTGGTTATAATCCCATTTGGAAATGGCTTGTCTTTGTTATGTTAACAAGGCATGATTAGTGAAGGGTGTATTTTGAGTCAGTATCTTCTGAGATATAAAAGAGATCAAACAACCTAGCAAAGCAAAGATGGGGGTAGATTGATGCCAAGTCACATGGAGATCTCCAAGGAACCAGGAAACAAGCTGAAGAGACAACGACCTAACCCTAAGTTGACAGAGAAAGACTTCCCCTAGAGTCAGCACCCTGAATTTGAACTTCTAGAAGCCCTGGTGGCACAGTGGTTAAGAACTACGGCTGCTAACCAAAAGATGAGCGGTTCAAATCCACCAGCCGCTCCTTGGAAACCCTATGGGTCGCTTCTACTCTCTCCTATAGGGTCGCTATGAGTTGGAAATCACTGGATGGCAATGGGTTAGCCTCCTATACTGTGAGAAAATAAACTTCTGTTTGTGAAAGCCACCCACTTGTAGTATTTTTGTTATAGCAGCACTAGATAACTAAGACTCATATATTTTACAATAAATTTTTTTGTGAAATTTAAAGTAAAACCAAAAAAAATTTTTAAGGAAGACATTAAAATATAAAGCTGTAGTGATGAAAATAATGATAAAACCTGTCTGGAGAGCACTTTGGAAACATCTGTCAAAATTTTAAAAAGGGACTTCTAGCAAAATGGCGCTCTAGGCAGAAGCACCACGCTGTCCCTCCACAGCAAAGATCCGAAAAACTAAGCCGAACAGAGAAAACAATAATCCTGAAACCCTAAAACATCAAATGAAGAGATAAAGAACTCAGCCAAGCACCAAATGGAGTGCGAAAACTGACAGAGAATGG